TTTTCTAACAACATCATGCATCCAACCACAGGGTTAATAATAGTGGTGTTTTTTTTTTTTAAAAGATGTAGTAACAACAATTCTATACATTACATCTCCAGATTGCCAAATCACTATCCAGAATTCTAAAATTCTAATAGGTTTTTATGCCTCAAAAAATGAACTTTATTTCATGTCATCACTGTTTCTATTTCAGAATCAAAGCCGTTAGGCTAACTGAAGATTCCATCTGTCAATGCATGTGATGCAGTAAGAAGTATGTCTGGTCTGAGATTGTTTAAGTATAAAAAATAGTGGTTTAACATTTTGAGATGAGTTTTTACCTTCAGTAATTTTTCTTCTGGTTGTGTGAAGTCCACCATATGAATGTAGTTATTACTAATGAGGTGCCAGTCAAGAGCATGCTGAGAACGTCACTGTGGCTGCAAGTGTTGCTCAAAGTCCACCAAAGAAATTCAAAAACACCACACATTGCTATCCGTGTCAGATGTCAAAGCAGCAATCTGAGAATCCCAAGTCTGACACACATTAAGAGCCTTTACTCCTTGTGTGCATGAACTGTAATCGCAGCTATTTCCTTTGAGAAGAGCAAGAAATAATATGCTGCTCTCAGCACTGAAGCTCGTTGAATTTCTTCACACACACATGCATTCACATACCCACAACCTGACAAAGCAGAGTGGCACTGTATATTTATTAAACAAAAAGATCAGGACAATCAAACTGATCACAGAGTTTAAATACGCCATAGCATTTCTATGTCTATAAAGCTTGTGAAAACAAAGCTGAAAAGATTTAATAGCCCTGAATGCAGCTATTTACACTGATGCTAAAAAAAAGACTCAGCTGGTATTTCCCGAGTGCAAGATCACAGGCACTGGAACTTCAGAGGAGGGAAGAGGCTTCCAGGAGAGGAAAGAAAGAACTGATGAGTTGCAAGACAGGAATATATAGAACATCAATCTCCAGTACGAAAAAATTGTTTAGATTAAACTATCAATAGTTAGTTAGTCAGTAAACACGTAACCTGGATCTTTTCATTTTCATTTTCTTCCATTTTTTACGGTTGCATTTTTAGCTTTTTTGTCTGAAATCTAGAACCCATCCTTGGCTCAGTCTTTTGGCTCCTAAGTGTCTCCCATAAGCAAGATCTGCTGAGATGGATTATTTTGAACATATTCAGTCAAGCCTGTGCAAAAGGCTGCCAAGGTGATCATTTTAGTTGAAATCAAGCTTATTTTGGTTCGGCTGATATCAGTTAGCAACAGTCTGAACTGGTCTGGTATCAACTGAAATAATAAAATACAGCCAAATTCAGAAGTTTAAGATTTGGAGAAAAGAAGAGCAAACTTCAAAACCAGAAATTTTTATCCTAGTTTTCAAGATGTTGAAAGTGTTTAATTAACAGGTATTTGTAAAAGAACATTTGTATATTGTCGTTACATGTATAACTAGGCCTTATATCGGGGTATAGGATAAACAACTGCAATAGCAAGATACCTTTGGAGGCTGGTGGGTAAGTAATCACAAACACAGACTCTTGAATGTAAAGAAATCCACATGAGTAACAAGAAGCTGTTCTCTTTTCTATCATTTTCACTGCTGCATACCCTTTAAGGTGCTTCAGTATTCATTACAGCTATTAGAAAAATTGTGCACTTTCTTCATTTACCACCAGAAAAGGGCTGTGGATTCATTTACGATCTTGATGAAAAGTTCATTCAGTCCGAAGAAATTGAACAGCCCTGTGTGAAAGAACAGCTTCAGAAATGAAATCTACAAAAACCCCTTTGGTATAACATAGAGGAGTCTAACAGTCCTCAGTACCATGAAGGCTTTCTGGAAGGAGACTTCAGAAACTCCTGCAATTTTCTGTAATCTCTTTCATACATGCTCCATGTATTTCTCTTGAGGGTAAAACAAAATAATCATCAAACTTGTTTGCACGATCTCTGCAACTTTCTTATTGTGAGAAATTATCTGCTTTTTGGTTTCCATCCTCTGTTCTGCAGGTGCTGCAGGGTGTGGGCCGACACTGTGGAGTATATATTTGTCTTTGTGCTCTCCACGAGCTGAGCACAGCTATTTTATCATGGACATTTTGAAATTAGGGAATTTACCCATTTCCTTTCAGGAAGCAGGGGGATTACCAAGGACAAAGAATTTCCCAACAAAGTTCTGAATAACATTGTTACTAAAAGAGGACTTTTTTTGCTTTTATAAAGATGAAATGAGGGAAGTATAACTAAGGATGGAAGATTAAAGCATCTTTCCTGCTTCGGTGATGAAAGGCAAATGCAGCTTGAGAAGTTTTTTGGAGAGGAAGAAGCATATTAAAAGAGATAAATATTTCCTTACACACAACCCAAAATGTTGCCATGCTTCATTGTAGAAACCAAAATTAGTCCTCCATTTAGAAAATAACATTTAGGAACAGGGCCAGACAGGCAGGGAGCACTGCACCCTCATATGAGCACAGGTTGGGATTCTTGTGTTATTGCTGGCGTGTTGTTAGTGCCATTGAGATGGAATTGGGGACAAAATGGAGTAAAGGACAAAGTTTTCTAAATTTCATCCCCCTGCACTTTTTGTGTGTTTCCTTACACAAACATGAAAGAATGTGATTTTTCTTCCTCTGCATGGTGGCTACTTGAATATTGCTGATTTCAAAAAAATCAACACAGGATTAAAAACTTTTTTTTTCTTTTAAAGTTCTACCATCATATGTAAAATGTTGTTTTCCTTGTTAATATAGTGCTCATTTACAGTCAAAACAAGGGCTTAATTCAGTAGTTTTTAAAAATATTTATGAGAATTCCTTCTATCTTAACATAGCAATTTACTTCTTCCTCTTAAGAGAGAACATAGCCCAGTGCTAACAAAAATTATTGTTTGAACCCTTTTCTCGTCATGGTAATGCTTTCCTACATGCTAATCTTGGCCCAGGGGTGCCTTATTTTCTGTTTCTGATGCTTCAGCTCACTGTCTGGAGGAGCCTACGAAGCTCTTTATAGAAAGCTCTGTTGAATGGTAAATCAATCAGTTTCACAGAACCACAGAATCGTAGGTGTTAGAAGGGACCTCAAGAGATTGCACAGATGGGATGGGTCTTGAATGTCTCCAGAGAAGGAGACTCTGTAACCTCTCTGAGCAACCTGTTCCAGTGCTCCATCACCCTTACCTTACCGTAAAGAAATTCTTTTGGATCTCAGTATGGAACATCCTCTGTTCAAGTTTTAGACCATTACTCTTTGTCCTATCACTACACACCACTTAGAAGAGCCTGGACTCATCCATTTGCCTCCCACCTCCCTTTAGATATTTCTCGATTCTCTTCTCAGTCTTCTTTTCCCTAAGCTGAACAGACCCAGGTTACTCAGCCTTTACTCTTAAAGGAGATGCTTCCAGGCCCTTTATCATTGTTATAGCCCTTTGATAAAAAACAGTAGCAACAATCCCTTCTCCCACTTCTCCACATCTCTTAGCAATAAAAAAAAACTGCTGACCATATTCTGCTGAAAGACGAGGGGAAGAAAAAAGCACAGCACAGTTGAGCTGCTGTGCCTTTCAGTACCACTTACTTTGGCAGTGATGTAGCTTGGCACAGTAACCTGGGGACATTAAACACAGGGTTGCTGTTTCATCTGCAAAGGCATGCAAAATGCATCTGGAGACCTTTAGGTCTCCTGTTCCTTGAATACATAGGGCTGTGTTTGAATTACTGCATACAACTCATTTGCATCAGAAGGAACTAAATGCATCAGAACCAATCAGGCAGCAAATCAGAAAATGACGCTGAGTTTGCCACTTTTCACAAAAAAAGTGTTTCGTTCGATTTTCTTCATCTCCCATGGACAACAGAAATGAGGTTGTGTAAAATTCTGACTAAAAAAAAAAAAAAAGAAAACAACAGCCAACCCTATCTTCCTTCACATGATTTTTTTTGGTTTCATTTTTTATGCCATGTAAGAAGTACTTAACGCATGGTTTCCAGTTAAGGGAGGATTAATTTCAGACAGAAGAATCAATGTCAAGCTAGAGTAATGCTAGTAGACTGACCAACTCATTTAAGGAGCAAGTGATCAGAGCACATATTGAATCGTGCCCATGTGTCCTGCCTCCTCCCACAGACAGGGGGAAGGAGGCTGGAGAGAAGCCTCAGGAAATGGGCTGGGGTTCTGGTGACGGCAACTTCAATTGGACTTGTCCAGCCTGGAGAAGAGAAGGCGATGGGGACACCTCATTGGAGCCATCCAGAGGGAGACTGAACTTCGGAGGGAAATGAACTTTTTACAACCGTGGGTAAGTGATGGGACAAGGGGGACTGGTTCTGAACGAAAGGAGAGGAGATCCAGATTAAATACCAAGGGGAAGTTTCTTATGGAGAGGGTGGTGATGTGCTGGAGCAGGATGGCCAAAGAGGTTGTGGATGACCTGTCCCTGGAGATTCTGAAAGCCAGCTTGGATGGGGACCTGGGCAATCTGATTTAGTTCTGTGGCAGGGAGGTTGAACAATTGTGATCCTCAGGGTCCCTTCCAACCCAAGCCGTTCTATGGTTTTGTGATTAGGAGCATGTCTCCCAGACTGGAAGATGTGAAAATGTGACCCAGTCTCTTATTCTACAGCAAGGAATCTAGACCAAAATGCTAAGAGAAAAGGATTCCATTGTTGTTAGAAGCAGTGCTACCATTGCCTGTTGTGAGTCAAAATATAAATTCCATTTGAGAAGGGAATGACTTTAAAAAAGAACAAGGCAAATGAAAGGATTTAACATTCAAACCTTTTATTTCCTTAAATATTTAATGCGTGAATAGATAAACAAAGATAACAATAGATAAACATAAACAAAGGGGCATGAGAACTGAGAAGGGTAATAACTGCATCATGCTATTTCCAAAACTACACATCTATGAGCTACAAACTAGGAACAAATAAGTAGGGGCTGCTGCAGCACTGCCTGCAAAGGGTCCTGCACTACAGAGTCGTCCCATGGCCTGCATCTGCCTGGTGCCGGGGCAGCCTGGTGCTGGCTGCAAGTGCACGTTGGGCAGTGCGGGGCTGCACAGGGCTGCTATTCTGGTGGCATCATCATGGCTGCTGCCCTCATGGCCATTGCAAAGCAGGAGCCAAGGAAAGCCAGGGCAGCCCAGGGAGTCTACAGCTGTGGTGTTTCTGGGAGCTGTGAGAGCTCCTGCTGAGGACGGCCAGGTGTGAATGTAGGAACCCCAAAGGGCAGAGTGCCCTGTGATGGAGGAGTGCAAGTGGCAACCAGCGTCTGGATGCTGCTCGGTGGCAGGATGGAGTGAAGCAGAGCTTCACACTGTTCCAGTGTAGGGCAGGCTGCAGCAGGGCCTGGCAGGATGTGAGCAGTACCTCCTTGGACTTGAAGGGTGTCATTTTTAGGGTGCTTTGCTGGTGGGGGCCTCATGGGTGCTGCTGCCTGTGTGCCTTGTGGTTCTGCTGCCTGCAGGCTCCTCTCTGGCCCAGCAGGCACTCCCTGTGTTGGCCAGGCATCTGGGCTGCTCCTCTGGGTGTTCTCATTCAGACCCTCCTGCAGGGCAGGGGCAGTCATAGCTCTTCTCTTGTAGCTGCTCTATACTTGCAGTGCTCCAGCAGCCATGGGTAATCTCTTCTGAAGAAGGGGCTGGAGTAGAGAAGTAACTGGAAAGATAAAGGAGAAGAGTTAGGTGCTGTCAGTGTGGGACTGAAGGACAGCAAGATACAGGAACTAGGGCTTCTCACAGCTCAGGACAGATGTGGCTGAGAACAAGGCTGATGGGTGTCTCAGTTTCAGCTGGGATGGAACTGTATTCTTCAGAGTGCTGGCATGATGCTATGGTTTGGTTCAGGGAGTAAAACAATGTTGACAGCACACTGTGTAGTTGCTGCTAAGCAGGGTTGTACAGAGCCCAGGCAATTCTCAGCAGAGGGACCTAGGAGTTGGGAGGGATCAGAACTAGGACAGCTGACTTAAACCAGCCAAAGAGATATTCCGTGCCATATGACATCTAACAGAAGGAGTCTGGAAGGGGATGGGAGTTCATCTGGCTCTCTTACACTGCTCACAAGCTAGATGGTCTTGTGTCGAGGGATGGTGAGCAATCACTTGTGCATCACTAGCGATATACATTCATATATACATACACTGGCAAAAATATTGTCCTTTCTTAGTAAAAAAGTTTTGTCACAACCCAGGACTTCTTTTTTCTCCGCTTCTCTCCCCCATCCCACTGGGAAGGGGCAACAAAGCAAATGAGTGTGTGGTGCTGAGTCACCTGCTGGGTTAAACCACACCAATCAGCCACTGTAATGCTACAGTTCCTTTGAGTGAAACGTGATGTTTTGTGAGTTTACTGTGAGAGCCTGTTTGTATGGGGACCAATTGATGTGCTTACCTTCCTATGGGCAGCAGTTGCTTCTTCCTCAGCCAGAAACTCAGGAAAGGACAGAGATCTTTCCAGGTCCTGTGGCACTTTGGTGAAGCCGTAGTGGTTGAGCTGGCAAACAAAGCTTTTCACGCTTGTGCAGCCAAATGCTCTCACAGGCGCTTCCTTGGCCAGGACTTCCACTGCAAACAGTTCTTCCTCGATTACGATGCAGTTTCCTCCATGGCCCCACCAAACGCTCTTCACTTGCTCACATTCGGCCAGGACCCAGAGTTTCTGTGGGAAGGTGAGTGGTGAGAAGACACTGGGTTGGCCAGTGTTTTCCTCAGAGGAACTCAGAGGTAAACCTTTGGGCTCCTCCTCATTGGGAAACATTTGTGAATCCTGTTGTTCCGCTACTGATGTCCCAGCAGCACAACCAGCTGGTGCTTGGTTCTGTGCTGCTGGGACAGTGGAAGAGGAGCCTGAGGTCTCGACCAGCTCCTCCACATCAGTGGCAGAAGCTTCCATTTCAATGTGTCCAGTCTCGCACTGATCAATGGTTGCACGTGCAGCCATCTGTGCAGCGAGCCAGTGTTCGCCCTGCCTGCCGGCAAGGGAAATCTGCCAGCACTGCCTGGGTGTTCCGGTGGGAGATGCTCAGATGTCACTTTGGTGCCTTGTGTCATCTCAGTGACACCAGCGTGTGCTGCCCAAGGCTGGACTGGTTGGAGCTGCCCAAACTGATGTCACAGAGTAGCACTTATTGCTGGTCCTGTCCTGAGCCATGGCTGTTTGAACTTAAGTTGAGAGGCAAATAAAGCTGGGTTGGAATGAAACCAGCCCTCACCGAGGCTTTGCTTCCCCTTCCCCATGTACTCCCCTGAGTAGCTCCCTGCTGGATGTCCCCCTGCTCCTGCAAGTAGGCTGGAAATCAGTTTCCTGAGCACTGGGACCTGAATAAAATAGCAATCTCTTCCCAGATTGTGTCCACTTCTTGCCAATGCTGTGTGATTTCCATAGCAGAACTTGCCTAAGGGAGAATCTGTGTGCCTGGTGCTGGCTGCAGGTGCACGCTGGGCAGTGCAGGGCTGCACAGGGCTGCCAGTCTGGTGGCATCATCATGGCTGCTGCCCTCATGGCCATTGCAAAACAGGAGCCAAGGACACTCAGGGTGGTCCAGGGTGCCTGCAGCTGTGGTGTTTCTGGGGGCTGCAGGAGCTCCTGCTGAGGACAACCAGGTGTGAATTTGGGGACCACAAAGGATATCAGCAACCACAAGAAGTTTGCCAAAAACATGTGCTGAGTTTTGCTTGTAGGGGCGTCCCTGTCTGTATGCTCTGATGGACAGACAAGAGGCTGGAGAACATGCCAAGGAAAGAGATAGAGGTTCTGGTGATGACAGTGTGGATCAGACTTGTGCCCTGTTGTAAAACACAGGAGGGATGCAAAAATCTTGGAGAGAGTGCAGAGGAAGGCATCTATGATAACCCAAGGGCTGAGGGTCTACTCCTATGAAGATAGGTGGAAGGAACTGGTTTTGTTTCAGTCTGGAGAAAAGAAGGTTGTGGTGTTCCAGTATTGAACTGGAGATCATGAAGAGGAGGCATGCAAACTTTACGCAACAGTTGATAGACACTATCAATGTCTGGATGCAGGGCTGGAGGTTAATGCAAACTTTGAGGACAACGCTAACCTGGAGGAGATATTGAGCCCCCCTTTCAAAAGGACCTTGAAGAGGTCTTTGATCAACTTTGTTTAGTGGGAGGTGTCCCAGCCTCCAGCAGGGGAGTCAGAGCTAGATGGTCTTATAGATGCCTTCCAACTCAAACCATTCCGTCATGATGTCATCTATGATTTAGTACTGGCCAGTGGAATGGCCGTGCAATCACCAACAATATGGTATTTTCCAAGTGCACGTGCTGAACTGTGTCTGTGGGGCAGCCCTGACTCCATGCACAGAATGGATACTGCACCACTGCCTGGTTTGGGCTCTTGTTCTTCTCTCTTGGTTTCATCTTGATATTGGATCAAAGAAGTTACAGACTGCAGAAAACAACTGCTGCCTATTGTGCTCAACTGCTGTAGCAGGGGACCTATAGACAAACAGTCCAGGTGCAGAGAGGTCCATTTTAAGCAGCTGAGTTTCACCTATACCTGTCACTGAATGAGGCTTACACATACTGCAGCTCCCCTCTCAAAAAGAGTCACAAGAAGAAAGTTTCAGAAAGAAAACTAGATCAGCTTTGTAGAAAGTATAGAATTAATTTGACTATTGGAACTCTGCTCTAGGTTTCTGCCAGCAGCAATTTCTAGCATGGGACACCAAGGGCACAAAAGCCAGGATTTTACAGCAGTGTAAGACTAATGATTAAAGCGTGTGCTGGCAGTCACCGAAGCAGTACTGGAGGAGGAAGCATCCACCTTTCTCTTTGGCGTTATGACAGCCTGATATTAAAGACCCGCAAGTGTCAGAAGATGGAGAAAATCAGCTGGCCTCTCTGACAGATCTTACAGTGTAGTGTCTATGCTGTCAAGGCTGTGAATATGACAACCTTGAGAAATGACAGTGATAGGAATGTTTAGGAAAGGGAACAAGCCTAATAGAGATGCTGCTGTTGACAATAACATGCTTGTGTTAGAAGCAAATTCTTTGAGCTTTCATAGGCAGTGAAGAATTTATTGAGCCTGTTTTTCTATGCCTGGTTTTTCTTTTTGTTTTTGTACCCTTACTGTCTGTCTATTTTTACTACCAGGGTAAAGTGCTGCTCAGTTGCAGTGTGGAAAAAAGAAACTAGTTGCTCTATAATGCTCTGTTTCACTTGAATTATCACGGCAGCACAGGCAGCATCTGAGGGCTCCATTGTACTAGATACTGAGCAAATACCAGGAAAGAGAGGATTAAAAATCACATTACTTTAATTTGGAAAAGCTTAGAAAGAGGTGAAAATAAACCAACTTATGAATTGGGAGAGATGAAGTTCAAGAGGCTTAAGGATGTGTTGAACCCACCTTTATGGTTAACTAAAAATGAACTAAGTTCAGTCTGGCCATCAGGGAAACCTCGGGCTAAGTGAGAGGCTTCTGGGGAGGAGAAGCACCTTCTTGGACAAAGTATCATCCTCCAAGCTTGAAATGGTAGTGATAACAACGAATGAGCTTTTAGGATGAAATGGAAGTGTTTTCTGATCTTATTTGCTAGGAATGCCTGATGAGCTCTAGAAGCACTGGGAATCAGTTTCTGTCCCAACCCAGGCTTGTAGGAGCACCAAATCTCTGCTTAAGGAGCATGCTCAGACACCAAACATCTGTGTCCGGTTCTGGGCTTCCCAGTCCAAATCAGACAGGGATCTCCTAGAAGGTGTCCAGCGGAGGGCCACAAAGATGATAAAGGGCCTGGAACATCTGTATGAGGAAAGGCTGAGTCACCTCGGTCTGCTCAATCTGGGAAAAACAAAACTGAAAGGGGATCTGATACATATTTACAAATATCTAAAGGCAGGTGGGAGGCAAACGGATGAGCCTTCTCAGTGGTGCTTAGTGATAGGACAAGGGGTAAAGGCCAAACACTTGAATGTAGGAGGTCCTATAAGAACTTGTGGAAAAACTTCTTTATGATAAGGGTGACAGAACACTGGAACAGGCTGCCCTGGGAGGTTGTGGTTTTCCTTCTCCAGAGATATTCAAGACCTGCCTGGATGCCTATCTGTGCAGCCTGCTGCAGGGGGCCTGCTTTGCAGAGGGGCTGGACTCAATGATCTCTTGAAGTCCCTTCCAACCTCTACAATTCTGTGGTTCTGTGATTCTATGATCTCAACACAGTTTTCTAGTGTTTGTATGTGTGCATTCATTGGAAAAGTTCAATAAGGATTTTAAGAACAAATTCAAACAAAATGAGAGGAGTACTTCGGAAACAAGAAATGACCTTCACCTTGCAAAGGACCTTATAATCATATACAGTTATTTTTGCTCACAAGGCATGTTGCTCCATGCCTCCCTAAGATTTTTGTAGTAGCTGAAGAAATCCTGAGTGCAAGCTTCCTGAGCTTGTTCTGGAGGATTCCTTTTGTGCAACTAGTTGCAGTGTGCAGGGCTTGGGGCAAGACAGATAAAACCTAGCCTTGTTCTATGATCTTTGTCCTCTAAACATCCCAGTTCAATAACTGGATGCTTTTTTTCCAGTCTGAGACAAACAAGACACAAGAATTTGGTTCTCCAGAAGAAAAACAGAAATTCAATTTAAACACTTTTATGACTGTAAGAAGTACACCAAAGTTATGTTTACTTTCTCAATGGAGATGGTAGAAAATCCAAGCCAAATGGACTGTCCTCCTCTTTGGCAGTCCTTCTCCCAGGGATGGCTTTCCACAAACTGAATGATATTCCCCTTCACACTCTATCAAATGTTGATTCAACGTCAACAATTTAATTTAATTTAATTTAACTACAGTTTTGCTTTTCAAGATAGATGCAGGAAACAAAGCTGCTGTTATGCACATGTATTACCACACTAGTGGCATCTAATGAACAAAACCTGTTCTCTGATGCTCTAAGACATATATTAGTCATTAATGAAACGACTAATGCATAACTCTCATTGCATTATTGCCAGGAACTCCAGCATAGATGTTTTGTCAACAACAAACTCCTAAACTTTATTTCCAGAAAAACTGAAATAATGACCTGGAACCCACTGAACCATCCCATACATCCCTGAGAACAGTCTGAACAGGTACATATATTGAGTAGTCTCAAAGAATCACAGCTATTTGGCAAGTTGTAAAGCTAAGTCATTTCCTATCTGTGTTGAGGATAGATTTTTAAGATGGAGATTCTTTTAAACACAGCACTTCTGAAGGGCATCTTAAGACCACAATTCAATGAGTGTAAAGTACAACTTTCATGTTTGAAAAATATATCTGTTTTTCAGTAAAATAAATGCACATTCTACCCTTATTTCTGAAAATAACGGTGTTGGAGTTTGCCACACAAGTAACAGTTCTTGGATTCTCAGAACATACAAACTGACTTCCATTGTAGCGAGCTGTTTTTTTAAGTTATTCAAAGTCTCAGGGCACAGTGGCAGAGAAATGAAGATGCTTTGCTAGGCACAAGTTAAACACTCTAGTTCAAACTCCTTTTGAAGTCCACCTGGCCTTCAGATCAGCTATAAGCAAGGCAAACAGCAGTGATAATCACTCCCTTACTTGTGTGTTGTGGGAACAGATGTGGGAACAGGTGGCTGTGTTGGCCAATTGCACCATCTGCAGCAAAGCAAAGCTCCACACCTCTTTCCACCTCTTCTCCAGCTCCCACAGTCATACCGATTCTGTGCAAGCAATTTTAAGACCACTACATCTCTAAGAAATGTCAGAGAGGTGGATCATCAACTATAAGGTTTTGATCATCTTTAAGGTTTTGATCAACGTGGCAGCCTGTGGTGGAGATTTAATGATCAAAATGGTTTACAGAGATGATATTATACATTTCAGACACGGACAGTTAAGTTAACAGCTATAAGAGGAGCACTTCTACCAGAGGAAAAGAGCTAATATTCTGTACTGAGTCGTGAGATATGAGTAAGGCTTGAATGAGACACGAAGGCACAAAAAGCCCAGCCTGGACAGCCAGAAGCAGAAGAGCATCGCTCTGGCACAGGCACAAAGGGAAGGAAAAAAAAGAGAAAGGGAAGGGAAGGGAAGG